GGGCCTGCCTGCACCATTCACAGTTGACGAGCCATGGTGGCAGCAGAAGCCTGGCTCACAGCTGAGGCAGAGATGGTCACAACTGACGGCGTGAAAGGCTGTTTCAGGAGGAATGATGTGAACGCTGAAGACTTACGAAGCCCTTGAGACACTCAAGTTGCTTCCAGAAATTTCTGCAGAAATGACCCCTTTTATCATCAAGCTGCCAAAGGCTCAGGATGCCAGGAAATCATTAAATAATTGTTCATTCTAAGAATCAGCATGTAGTCATAATCTATAAATAAATTTTGTTAAATACACAATGCACTAAACATACTTTCAACATACTTTCACAGTCTTAGTGTCACTTTTCTTTTTCTTTTTTTAGAGAAGGGTCTCACTGTTGCCCAGGCTGGAATACAGTGGTGCGAGCTCAGCTCACCACAACCCTCTACCTCCTCGGTTCAAATGATTCTCATGCCTCAGCCTCCCTAGTAGCTGGGATTACAGGCATGCGCCACCACGCCTGGCTAATTTTTGTATTTTTTTTATACAGACGGGGTTTTACCATGTCCAGGCTAGTCTCAAACTCCTGACCTCAAGTCTCAGCCTCCCAAAGTGCTGGGATTACAGGCATCAGCCACCACACCTGGCCTTAGTGGCACTTTTCAAGGGTACTGCCTTTCCCTATTTTGGTCTGTGTTTTAAATGGTTTCACTCAAAGTGTCCTTTTTCTGGAATCTATGACCCTCTGATGATCAGGGGGACCCCCCCACCTCCTAGTCTGTTTCATGCGATGTATAAGGGGCAGCAGACAGGGACCAACACGGCCACTGCAGAGATTAGAATACAGAAGGGCTCAGAGAGAATGAGGGTCTTTCAGGAGGCCACCCAACAAGCCAGTGATTCCCTAGGAAGCCGGGGTGCAGGTCGGCTCTCAGATCAGAGCCCCTGTCGGGACTGAGCTTGGCCCTGAGTACCCAGCTGCTAACCTCGCACCTGTCCAGCTCCTCAAACAGCTCCCGCACCGTCATGCTGGCCACAATGGTGATGGCATAGGGCAGGCAGCCGTGTTGCCGGCTCAGAGCCAGCATCTTGGCGTAGCGGGGTGCCACGGGGAACGTGGCCATGGTCCGGCCCAGCGCAGTGATGGGGCAACTCAGCCGGTTCTTCTGCAGTTGCTTCACCCTGAAGATGGAGGTGGTGGTGGCAGTGCTCTGAGAGGAGCTCTGGAGCCAGAGCTGGGAGGCCCCACGCTTGAGGTGGCTCAGGCCCAACAAAGGGGAGAGAGGGCCCCGAACGGGACAGGAACTGAGTCCTGCATCTCTTGGTCCTACCTTTCTGCTTTCTGGGGCGGTTGCAGGGCACCCAGTGCGATCAACAGCTCCTCGGCGGCAAGAAGGGCCTCCACGGAGGGGGGCGTCGGGAAGGGGAAGTTGATGACCTGGGACACGAGACACGAGGAGACACGGCAGGGACACGGTGAATGCCAAGAAGCAAGTCTGGTGCTCCTGCTCCATCTGTGGCAGGCACTCCCTCCACCCGCTCTCTCCGGGTTCAGCTCATGCCAGTGGGGACACATGGGGCTGGGGCACCCTCAAAGGCCAGGTCCCAATGGAACCCCAAAGCCTCCTTCACTCACTCACATCATCCATTCACTCAAAAACACATCCCAAGCACTGGCTAGGCACTGAGGGCTGTGCTTTGCCCCCACTGGGTGCTTTTTTCGGTTTTTGTTTTTAAACATACTGTTACACTCATGAGGACTTAGCGTCATTTGACCAGGAGGGGCCACAGGTAGTCAGTGAGGCATAATATGAATAAATTGGCCTGGTGCGGTGGCTCACGCCTGTAATCCCAGCACTTTGGGAGGCTGAGGCGGGCAGATCACCTGAGGTCAGGAGTTCGAGACCAGCCTGACCAATATGGTGAAACCCCCATCTCTACTAAAAAGACAAAAATTAGCCAGGCGTGGTGGCGCTCACCTGTAGTCCCAACTACTTGGGAGGCTGAGATGGGAGAATCACTTGAACCTGAGAGGCAGGGGTTTCAGTGCGCTGAGATCATGCCACTGCATTCCAGCCTGGGTGACAGAGTGAGACTCCCTCTCAAAATAATAATAATAATAATAATGTGAATAAATTTATCACAATAGCCAAAAGACGGAAATGACCCACGCGTCTCCCAATGGAGGAGTGGATGAACAAAACGCAGTCCATCCACAAAATGGACTATGATTCAGCCACGAAAAGGAATGAAGCAGCGACACGCGCTACACCACGGATGGACCTTGAGAACATCACACTCAGGGAAAGATGCCGGGCCCAAAGGCCACATGTTGCAGGATTCCATCTGCATGAAATGTCCCAAACTGGCAAATCCATAGAGAGGAGTGGGCGCAGGGGCCAGGGAGCTGGGAGGTGGTGACAGATGAAGGCGACATGCTTTCTTTCTGTCTGGGGTGATGAAAATGGCCATGGTGGTGTTTGCACAACTTTGTGAACACACTGGAAACTACTGACCCGCACACTTTCAACAGGTGACTGTGTGGTGCGCCAGCTCTATCTCAATAAAGCTAGAGGCGGGGCGGTGAGCCTACAGCAGGCACGCAGGTAGGGCAGGAACGCTAGGAACCCAGGACTGGGGGAAGGCAGGTGGGGACCTGCTCTGGAGCTGACTCAAGAGCCAGGGGAAGCCACTGCAGAGTTCCTACAGAGGGGACTTGATGTCATTGTGGGAGGCACTCCAGACAGTGCTCCCAGCCACACTGAGCTCCCAGCCCAGCCCTGACACGTTTTATCCATGTGACCCACAATCAGGCCTGTCTCCATGCCTCAGGCTCCTCATCTGGAAAATGGGGCGATAACACTAGCAACTCCCTCCTAGAGTGGCTGGGAGGATAACCTGAGGTCACACATACAGAGTGCCCAGCACATACTTGGCATCTATAATGTTTTTCTTTTTCTTTTATTCTTGTTTTTTTGAGATGGAGTCTTGCTATGTCGTCCAGGCTGGAGTGCAATGGTGCGGTCTCGGCTCACTGCAACCGCTGCCTCTCGGGTTCAAGCAATTCTCCTGCCTCAGCCTCCCAAGTAGCTGGGACTACAGGTGCCCACCACCTGTAGTGTCTAATGTTTGTATTTTTAGTAGAGATGGGGTTTCACTATATTGGCCAGGCTGGTCTCGAATTCCTGATGTTGTGATCTGCCCATCTCGGCCTCCCAAAGTGCTGTGAGCTACCGTACCCAGCCCCTTTTTTTTTTTTTTTTTTTTTAGACAGTGTCTCACTCTGTTGTTCAGGCTGGAGTACAGTGGCATGATCACAGCTCACTGCAGAATATTTTGATTAATCCTATTGATCTGCAAACTTGAAATTCATTGAACTCCTCTAATCTCTCCTCCCCGGCCCTTTTTTTTTTTTTTTTTTT